ACAATGGTGTAGGTGCGAGTGAAGATGTTCTTCCCCATTCTGGTGCTCGTGAAAATTTTTAGTCTCCGTCTCCACCTCATTTTTGGCTCTGATAGATGTTCTCGAGAAAAATTATTGGTTTTACAATTGTTTTTAATTATTTTTAGAATTTAAGTATAAAAARAGTGTAATAAATATATATTAATTATTTAAAAATGGAACCGGGGTCGGTACATGCATTTCCTATTTTTGGGACCCGACCCTGCTRAAATTTTTGTCATCCCATCATGTAGAGACATGAAAATACAAGTTCAGAGAAATGTAAATAAACTTTTGGAAGTTAAATTTTAGAGAGATAAATAAAAAAAATTAGAAAAATAAATAGTTAAAGAAAAGTTAAAGACAAAAACAGAGAAAAAGTTTGAAGAGACAAAAAAAATTGGAAAATTTTTAAATTTTTGAAGAGAGAAATGAAACAGATCTGTTAGGGAAAAAAAACAAAAATACAGAAAAAGTTTGAAGAGACAAATAATAACAAATATTCAAAATATGAAATTTTTAGAGAGAGAAAAATAAAGTTTGTAGAGAAATTTAGAAATAAAAAATTTTTGAGTGAGAAATAAATTTTTTAGAGATAAATATGAGAAAGTAAAAACAAGTTGAGTATTTCGAAGAAAAAACCAAATTTTGAAAAACAAAAACCTGTTTTGAAAAAAAAAAAATTTTTTGTTTTTGAAATTTACATCGAATTTCAAAATAGTTTTTGAAAAACAAAAAACAGAAAATTGAATTGGTTATCAAATAAATCTGTTTTTTAAAAACTAAAAACTTAAAACAAAAAACGAAATATTTATCARACGGGTCCGAAATGGTTATGGTTATGGTTATCAAACAGACACTAAATTTTTAGACTTGAGCCTAATAGGTTTCCTAAGCTTTAAAAATGATCTAGAAGTCTCTMAATTTTAAATTTTGTATCTAATAAGACATTAAACCTTAATMATGTCTAATAAATTTTGAAACTTTAAATTTAATAGGTAATAAATTTCTGGTCGAAAAATTAACAATTTTATTAGACATAACATTGTATTTTGTTTTCAATAAATTCTAAACTTTTAATTTTGTGTCCAATTAAATCTATAAATTTTAAAAAATGTTGAATAGGTACGTCTAATAATTAAAAATTTATGGACTAATTTTGGACATTTTCTAATGTTGAAAACCTATAGTTAAACATAGCTGTTGAACTTTAGGGAAAACACTTGTAATTTGGCCGAAACAAAGATAGAAAAGGTTGTGGAACAATGGCCCATGATGAATGGGATTCGTTGAAGTAGATAAATTGGTTTACCTGCATTTCTTCCAAGTTTACGACGCTTCCGAAAGAGACATAAACAACGGAGGTGGCGGGCTTAGAGTTGAGCCACTCCACGGTGGCGTCGTCCGACGCATCAGAGCTGAACAGACTGATTCCGTAGCTTTCGTCGTCCTCCAACCGCTTGTCCAAGTATGCCGACGGAACACTTGGCCCAATACTCTTCATTCCCCATTCACCGCCCACCTTATCAACCACAATTGCAAATAACCAAAATATTAAAATACCGAGCCAATGCAATAGGGCATAAGAGAGAGTAACATGAATAGGATTACCATGGTCTCCAATTTGTGGAAGGTGTTGCAGAAAATCCATCTGGCGTCCTTCAAATTGGTAAACTGGCCGCCTTTCAAGAACTTGACGGCGGCGATGCCGCCGACGGGGAACGTAATGGGCAAATCCGCGGCGGCGAGAACAACGGGCAGAGAAGGAAGCGAGATAGGAGCTGCGTGGTCCTGAACCGGAAGCTCCAGAGCTCCGCGATGAATTAGATCGTAGATGTGGTTAACCGCCGAGGATTGAGTGAAAAACGGCGCTCCGTGGAGTCCGAAGCGGTTGGCGAGGGCGAGAACCCATGGCATCAGTGAGTCGTAGACGATGAGGACCGGTTTGGGGTCGGAGGAGGCGATTAAATCGGCGAAGCCGTCGGCGACAGCGGTTCTGAAGGGTTCGGAAGTGACGTTGGCGTCGGCGACGTCGGAGATGGTGGCGATTTGGACGGAGGCGGAGCGGYGAATGTGGAGGGAGGGGGCGAGGCTGGCGGTGACGAGGAGCGTGACGCGCACSCCCCGCGAGGCGAGTCGCTTGGAGAATTGGTGGAGTGGGTTTATGTGGCCTTGGCTCGGCAGGGGAAATGCTAGTACGTGTGGGCGTATGGRATTGGGATTAGGCTCACCAGATACTTCTTTGATAGCCATTCTCACTTTGCTCTTCCTCCACTTATTTCTTTTTCTATCTTTCTTCTTCAATTCATTTCACCTTTTAATATAMAACAAAGGAGTCTCTTCAACCACGCACGTGAAACACAAGGTATTTGTTGTTATTATCAATTATCATGAAGCAACTTGATTAAAGTTTTTGGGAAAATTACTGCACTCATGAATCTCTTTTACCAGGCATGTGAAACACAAGGCATTTGTTGTTATTATCAATTATGTATGAAGCAATTTTACAAAATTTTTTGGAAAAATTACTGCACTCTTCCATTATCCTTATCCTAGTGTCCTTCTCAATGTAGTAATGTCTAATGTCCTTGTCACTAAAGTAATGTCCTCGTTATTTCACTAAATTCCATGCATGTGAAACACAAGCTATTTGTTGTTATTGTAGACGCCATAGTTTGTAGCTCAATTTTTTTTTTTTTTTTGCTGAAAAAAATAATTGAAAAAGAAAAAGGAAAAATAAAAGAAGAAAAAAGAAGTTTTATAAAATAGAAAATTTGCATGGGACATCAAAATCATTTTGTCTGTCAACCACTTTTAAAAATTGTAAATATGGAAAAATAATAAGAATTATTATTTTTGAATTCCAATTTTTCCAGTTTTTATGTTATTCCAGATCTAGCGTGCAATCTGCTTTGCGTTTGGATTGTTCTTCGTGCACTTGCTTCTTCATGTGCGCTCTCCTTCAGTATCTTCAAAATCGATTCTTCCGTAGATTCTGTTCTTCGGTAATTTCGTTTAATCGATTCTTCTGTAWCAGATCTTCTTCTTCACTTAACATCTCTATTTGGAAGCTTCAATTGGATTTCTAAAAAAACCCCACTTTTCTAAAACCTTTTTTTCAAGTAAAAGCAAAACAAAGCTCCATCMTCTTTGTTGTGMAAAATACTCCAATAACTACWTTCAAACGATATTCATCATTAATTCAAATAAATTCATCTAAGCAATATTAACACTAAATCAAGTAGATAAGGGAAGAGAAGACGACAGAAAAAGTATAGTGGTCCGACCAATAATGTGGTCTATATCCACTATGCAAGGTGGGAGCAAAGCTTCTATTAACTTCAATATCCAAAAACAATCCAAACGGAAGAGAAGAGAAAAACAAAGTCGAACTCTAAGTAGAACAACCTACGAAGAAGATGAAAACAATGGACAAAAAACAAAAAGAAACAAACAAACTCTTTTGTAGATTTTTCCACCCTCGGCTRCTGTGGTATAAAAAAGTATAACAATATTCTACTTCTTTTTCTCAATCTCACGGCAAGAAGAATTGTTCCAAAATCAGGGTTGCACACAATGTAATAAAGTAGCCACGTATTTGGGCTTAAACAATAACCCAACTTCTTTAATTTAATAACCCATGAAATATGATTGAGTGTTGTTACGGTTTAGAACCCTTTGTGTAAGTGTACACAACCGTTATAGCAAGTGATAAAAAGATCGTATCTACAGGGATTGATAACTAAATACTTTAACAATTACTTAAGAAAATAAACATATTAAATTAACAAAATATGTTTTGAACAAGAAAAACTAAAGGAACTCGAACAAAATAGTGCATAGATGACGAGAGGGCTTGCTTAAGAATAAGAAAGAGGAATCTCATGTAAATACCATGGAATAAGGTTTGATCCTATTCATGGGGATTGCGTAAATATTCCATTCCAAAAAGAGAAAGTTCGAAACAATTGGGATTTTTTTGGAGATTGGATGCAGTTACTAATCTACTTATTGAAAGAAAATAAGTTTCTTGAAATTTTCTATTTCGAATTTTTGAACTTTTTTTTTGGAAGGTTTTATTGAATCATCGTGGTTCTAGTATGAATCTAAGGTTTTAATTGATTCATAGGTTAACTACTCATATTTAAAAGAGTAAGGGGGAAGAGTTTATGTGACTTATTCTGGGCTAATGCAAACGATGCTACAGCATTAACGATGTTGATATACTAGCTAAACAGACACGAAATCTTCCCAAATTTCCAGATTTTCTGCTATTCATGTTTTTAGACAAACTTGASAGCATATATACTCAGTTTATAACCTTGCTAGGTGAGTCTTATTCCTAAGTATCCACRCTCTAAACTCAAGTAGATCTAGCACGAGTTGAAGCCAAACACTTTCTACTAGAATTTTTCAAGAGTTAAGAAGATATCCCAATATGTTGGCCAAGCACATTGAAAATTAAACGTTAAAAACAACTTCAACTCAGTATATATATCATCATAAAGCCAAAACAAAGTTTACAGCCCAAGAAYAAGTTCACAACATCCTCCCCCTTACAAATAAACTTAGCTATTCAATGTCATACATGAAAAGAGAATAAGAAAATACAAAATTCGTGCACTAAAGAATACAAAAGCAGAATAAAATGAAGAATAACAGAAGCCCTTCTTTCTTTGTTGTCTTCTTCAATGGTTTCTTGGGAGCTTTCTTGAAGTGAAAGTGAAATGATGGGATGGGGAGTCTTAGAGGCACCCCTCAAATACAAGCTTTTATACCATCTTGATTTTAGGACAACACAAATGACAAAGTGGGCTTCAGCTCAACATATCAGGTATTTTTTTGTTTTACTACAGTAATTTCTCAAGTAAAAGCCGTCACTATCAATTCTGTCTTTCTACCTTTTTGCTTCYGATGCTGTAACATCAACAATGCTATAACAAACATTCAAAATTAGGTAATTCTTTATAACTCTCAGCGTTGTCTACTCAGGTAAAGATGTTAATGAATGTAAAGCATTATTTGCACAAAATCAATGTAGAGTGGGTGTTAGTGAGACTATCCTTGTCTAATTTATATGAAATTCTTGTTCAAATAACTCTCATTTGGAGAGTTATCACACCTCAAATTGCAAAAATCCAGATGACGTGGGGTAACTCTCCATGTCATAATCAACTTCTCACTCCCTTTCATAATTGCAGGGGAGTGTTTTAATAATAATAATTAATTAATTTTATATATATATATATATATATATATATATATATATATATAAACTAAATAAATAATTAACACTTAATTATTTATTATCAAAATAGAATTATATTCTAAAAACATTTCTCTCGTATAACCTAGAGTTGTAGTGTACATCTTATGYACGTTATTTTTAACCTATAGTTTTAATATGAATCACATTCATATTAAATTTTAATTGAATCTCATTCAAATAATTTCTCTCATAATATTTAGTTTCAATTTAGAATTAACCATATATTATAATGTATCAATATACATACATTTAATCCCTCGARCAATTTGAACATTTCAAATTCTTCCAAAAAACTTGATCCCCGTTATGAGCTAGCAAGGGAACCTGATGGACCTACAGATCCAAAGCTCCAACAATACGAGATTAATCTGTAACGACCCAGAATTTCCTGCACACTTCTAGGTCACGTTAACTACC